TTTGGAGTTTGTAGCTTTAAAGATGTGGCCGTGCATAAGGAAAGACGCAGAGAGAGAGAGAGACATTTGCGTTTATATATATATATCTAGATATAACTTCTTGTGGATTATACTAAAATTATATTATATAATTATCGTTGATAACCTCGATATTTAAATCTTAATTAACCTTATCAAATGCACTATATTATCTTTTTTTTTCTTTTAGATTTATATTCACACCTCATTTACGCTGTTTTTCTTATATCTATTATATCTGCAGGTTTAAGGATAAGAATTTTTAACTTACTGCTGAAGTCACTTTTGTGCTTGCTCTATGTTCTGAGAGTTGCTTTAGATCGAGGACCGAAGTATGCCAAATGGTAAGCCCTTTATTTACTAAATAACAGTATTATTATTCCAGAAGGTAGATCTTTGTTTACTAAGTAACAGCATTATCATGGCAGATGGTAAATCTTTGTTTATTGAGTAACAGTATTATCATGGCAGATGGTAAATCTTTGTTTACTAAGTAACAGCATTATCATGGCAGATGGTAAATTTTTGTTTATTGAGTAACAGCATTATCATGGCAGATGGTAAATCTTTGTTTACTAAGTAACAGCATTATCATGGCAGATGGTAAATCTTTGTTTATTGAGTAACAGCATTATTATGCCAGATTTTTACTAAATAACAGGGTTATTATATTAGCTTTTAAAGGGTAGCGGCGAATCCTTGTCAACATAAGGCACAGAACATTTACAAATGTTAATCCTTGTATAACCGACTTAGTTACATATCACTTTCTTCCAGTGGAGTCAACACCTATTATATTATTAAACAATTGGGTGAAATCACTTATTTACTTTTTGAAAATACATAAGAAATCCTTACAATAATCATTAAGATTAATTGCAGTATTGACAGCATTTTTGTTTAAATGTTTTGAGTGAATCATATGATAAATACGGTAGTAATTATAGTAGGAATCGGCCAGATGTGCGATATGTGCAATACAAATTAAAATCTCAAACACACTGAATACAGTATGTAAACAAAACTTTATAAGCACTTTACACACACTGTTGGTTAGTAAACAAACCACTACAAAGTAAAAAGCCTCCAAAGCACTTGAGAAAGTCGGTAAAGTAAAAATAAAAATTTCACAAAGCCATAAATTTGTCAATCTGGCTATATGACTGACTAACGTTATTGAAAAGGCATAGCTCTCTCCTGCCTTCACCTTATGCAAATCAAAATGTACATGATTGAATTACGTTACTTTGGTTACAAGTGTTTATCTTAGTTTTACTTATAACCTAGGCAATAACAAGTAATAACAATAAACACTCTGCAACACTACTACGATCTAACAATACACTAGTATCCACAGTCTATGATTATGCGCATGCTCTATGAGTTGCCAAGTAACAAACCGCCCTCATATCACCTGCGGGTGCACGATTACTTATGTGCACGCATTATGTAATCAGCCTGCAGCTGTATCAGTTAGACAAAAACAAGTAAATTCTTGAGATCTAGGTTCTAACTACGATCTAGCATTTGAAAATGAAGTTTTCTGATATATACATCTGATTCGAGGGTTCTATGTTGGACAAACCAATTACATTATAGCAGTCGTGCTTAAGACATGAGCCTTCTACGTGAGGACAATCATTACCACTGCCGAAGTCTGACGTGGTTTTACTCGAGCACTCTGGACTGAAAACAAGAATGATAAGTTTTATAATTTAACTTTGCATTGTTTTAAAACTAAGTATGACCTATTGACATCTAAGTACTTGAAACAGTGCAATTTTTTAAAATGTGACTTTTAAGGAAATAAAACAATAGCTAAGGAAAAAAAATTATGTTGACAACCTTGAAAAGTCTTTGTCCCAGTGAAGAGAGCATCACTGCAAGAATAGAAATATGACTAGAAACAGTAATACTGAATATGTGAAATAAGCCTTAGCTATTAATCAAGCAAAAGAAAAGGCTGCCACTCAGGCTAGATGTCAGAAAACATATAGCAAAGATATCAGCAAAAGCCAGGAAATGTCGAGAGATAGATCTAAGAAAAGCTATGTGAAGGATAGGCCTAAAGGCCTAGAGTTCAGTCACTCTCGAGACCTAGCACCAAGAAAAGCTACGAGGGAGATAGACTTAGAGCCAAGTCACTCTCGAGACATAGTATCAGAAAAAGCTGTGAGACAACTGTAAAATATTCTTAAATACAAAAATTAGGAAGTAGGAATGGGAGCACCAAAAAAGTAAGGAAACAAGGTGGGAATGGGGAAGATAATATTACAAGACTTGTTGGTTTTTGACATGTTGCAACCTCAAAGTGGATGTGGCCATCATTCTGCTCATCCCTACTTCGTGTTTTACTTTGAACTTTGATCCAATTATAAACTTTAATTGAGTTTTATCAGTAGCTAACCCTTTCTAAATACTCAACAAATTTCAAAACATCAGTGGTATTGATAGTATTATTTTGGCCCACTCATTACCAGTTAGACAGCTATAATGTCTTCCATAAGCAAAGTATGACTATTGGAACTTCCTGTATAACTTCTGACATCAAACACCACCCTTATAATGTCATGCATTTCGTTAGGGTTACGTAACTTGATCACATACACGTATCTCTACTTGTTTGATGAAACAAAGTTTACAACAGAGAAATTTAGCAATATACACCTTTCATTCAGTTTGAACAATTACCAAGTTACAATATGCACAAGAAGTAGGAATGGGTGGAACGATGGGCACACCCACTTTGAGTGTTGTAGTGTTATAGCCGCCCATTCCTACCTTGTTTCCTTACTTTTTGGTTCTCCCATTCCTACTTGCTAACTTTTTATGTACAAATGTTTTGAACTTTTGTTACTAAAGGTCCTGTAATCAACAAAATCATGGTTCACAATTTAGTACAAAATAGGTGAGAGAAAATTACAATAGCGTTAGTTTGTAACGTACTGAATACTGAAGAAAATAAACAAGCCGATATATATAAACCAAGTTCAACTGACACAGAGAGTGTGCTGTCTAACTGCAGCTTAAATAAACATAAGCTATCTATAGAAGACTAAAATACTAAACTTGGAATCCAATATCAGTAAGCGAGAAATTAAAGAGGCTCTTCTAATACAGGTTCACGAACACACATTAAACCAATATCTACACAAATAGCGTTCATTAAACATCGTTCTGTGTAATTTCTACTTCCTTGCAACTTGATGAAAATATTCTATAGTTGTTTTCGCTTGAACTTTAAATTAAGCTAAAACAACCTCTACAGCTTAGTACCATTGGGCTGTATATATAGTAACAGGAGAGACTACTAACTGTTTACTATATATGTAAGCTGTACGTGCCTGTGCTACCGTCATCGTGACAGAGGTATCGTCTCTAAACAAGAATAATGATGTGTAATGCATACGAGATAAATTCGTGCATTTATAGTAAAATATTACTATTGAATATCAATTTGAGAAATGTATAGAGGAAAGTAGAACGCCGCTTAAAAAAGAAGAAATGCGTACATGCTTATGTCCATTATATACTACACACATATCTTTCTTTAGGTGTACCATAAGCCTACAAAGCTACAACCCTTTTAGTGTTTAAACGTTGTGGATAATTTACTTCGGCTATATTTGTAGTACTTTAAAAATATATATAATGTCCTGCTCATTCTTCATACAAATTTCAGTTAAGTTATACATGATATATTAGGTCGTCAAGAAATTAATGTTGCGTTTTGGAACACTTTCATTCACCACCACCAAAAAACGTACATCATGAATAATAGTTAAACGAACCGCCTAAACGTCAC